TGCAGGTCGGCGGTCGCCATCTTGCCGTCGTCATCTTGAGCATGTGAGTGAGCGTGTGATCGGCGTTCTCCTATGGACGCCGAAAGCGCTCAAAAGGCACCAGCGAAGCCAGAAGAGGCTGCCTTTAGGACCAACTCCGCCAGTGATGCGGGGAGGGCTCCAGAGCGGTGCCTGCTGGTGGCTCAGACCGCAGATCAGCGGCAGAAGAGAGAACAACGCGGATTCAGGGACAGAAGACTGAATCCGACCTATTTAAGCCGGCTGAAGGAAAGAGGAGGTTGGTGGTCACCGCAACTATAAGTACCATGGCGGAGGCGGCAAGGAACAGGGATGCTAGGCCTAGTTCCCCAGGGGGTGTGGATCCGGAGGAGGGGACTTCTGGGGGAGTCTCCCCGGCTCCCAGGGGGAGATCTCCAACTAGGAGGGACAAATCCAAGGCCCCCAAGAAAGCAACCTCTAGGAAGGAGGTTAGGATGACCAGGGCCTTGACTAGAAGATTCAGGGCTACCATCAACCCTTCCCCCTCCAGGTCCCGATCCCACCACAGGTTTCCAGCCCTGGATGAAGCCCGGGTAGCATCCCCTGGTTCCCCAAGGGACTCAGGCAGAAGGCACAGCTCCCTATCGCCCCCCCCCCCATCGCCTGCACTTCCAGCTGAGTCTAGGGCTGATCTATTTGGGCGCAGGGCCCCCAGTCCAGCTAGACATCGGTTGGCACCTCTATCCCCTGATCCCAGGGAATATCCTCAGCCACCAGAGCTCCAGCCTGCCTTGCCTGAGCTCACCAATAGTTTTCAGGAGATGCTAGCTAGGGCCTTAGCCCAAGTGATGGCCTCTGGGATAAACCAGCAGCCTCAGAGTTCCAGGAGCAGGGCTGCCCAGGAGCACTCCAGGGGCCACCAGGACCGCCCCAGTATATTGGCTGCCAGAGGAGCCAGGTCTCCTCCCCTCTACTGCAAGTGAGGCTTCCGATTTAGAGGAGGGAGAGTTGAAGGAGTTGGGGTTCTCTGAGGATGAGGAACCCCAGGCAGAGGATGACTCCACCGTCGCTGGTCTTTCCCCCCCCTCTTTATTTAGCTCCTTGCTCCGTAAGGCAAGTGCCACAGCAGACCTGGACCCCCCCACAGATCCTAAGCCTGTGTCTGAAACGCCTAGCACTAGCAAGGGCAAGAGGAAGAAGGGGCCCTTCCATAAACCACCTGTGGCTAAGGAGGAGATCCCCACGCAAGAAATGTTTCTACAGGTGCTCAAATCTCAGTGGGTGAAGCCAGGGTCTTTTCCCACTCCAGGGGGAAATGAGAGGAAATTCTATAACCTTAACCCAACCTTTGCCCAAGCTCTCCAGGTTCCTGAGGTGGACAACCTGGTTGCCACCCTAGCTTCAGCGTCAGTGGTGATCACAGGGGACATCGCCAGCTGTCTCAAGGCAGAGGACAAGAAGGCAGACATCGTGCTGCGCAAGACGTTCCAGGCTATAACATGGGCCATTAGGGCAGCCGCTTCGGCTTCTTTTTTCAACAGGTCCACGGTGCTGTGGTTGGAGCAGCTGAGGGACAGGACTCTGGCCTCAGAAGTTCGTTTGTTGCAGGACATCTCCAAGATGCTGGCAGCCACGCAGTTCTCAGCGGATGCCACCCTGGACGCAGTTAAGTATGCGTCTCGGGCAATGTCATCTTCAGTGGCGTCTAGGCTCCTGCTGTGGTTACGCCACTGGCAGGCAGAGTCCCGGGTTAAGTGGCACTTAACAGGAGCAGACTATACCGGTGATAAGCTGTTCGGAACTGCGCTGGATCCTATCCTGGTGGAGGATAAGAACAAGCGGAAGGTCTTCCCAGCGACCACCAGACACTCAGACTTCCGGCATGCTCCATATCCCAGGAGAACCTCGTACTGGCCGCCTGAAGTGGAGACCCAGAACCAGAGGTACCAGAACCCCAGGTTCCACAGGCAGGGGGATAGGCAGTTCCATAGAGACAGGTTCAGAGGCCAACAGCAGTACAAGTGGCCCTTTCGAGGAGGATGCGGTCACCCTTTCCGCAGGTTCAAGTGATCTGTCCACGGATCATCCTATTGGCGGTCGCCTCTCCCTTTTCGCGGATGCTTGGGAACGTGTCACCTCAGATGAGTGGGTCCTCCAGACTATAAGGCTCGGGCTACAGCTGGAGTTTCGCTCTCTCCCCCCTAGTAGGTTCCACACCTTCGCCTCCTCCACAGATCCGACCAAACGGGCCCTTAAGGCCAATGCCATCAAACACCTGTTAGC